ATTTTAAAATATGTCCAACAATATCGATCCAATGTTTTAGATGCTCAGTAACAAGTGGCATCGATGAAAATAACAATCAGAAGAAAGTATATGGAGTTAATCTCACCAGTTTATCGTCAATTGTCCTTATTCTACTATGTGCCTAAGGACAGTCTATACTATGTACCTGAATAATGGAATTACGCTACATACATTTACTTTGAGATGTGCTCCACAAAGACAAACTCGTCATGTAAGTATTAGATTTAATGTACAACAACAATTATAATTCAAAGCTATGTTATATGTTCTTCGAAATGGATTTTGGGAATAGGAATTTCTGTTGTGGAAATACATCCGCAAGACTGCGTCGTAAATAAAACAATTTGAACTACTATTGCCGAGGAAATTTGTCTAATTTTGCTAAAATGTATTTTATATACATTCAAACCAGTAAGGAAAGTTAAAAAGTCGGGCGGGCCCGACTATATGATACCATACACCGCTATGCATATTTAGTAGAGCTTTCGTAAAAGAAACGTTTATATTGGGCATTTCTGAGCTCTATGAGATACCTGGTACAACATATGATTATGGTAGAGTGCATATTCCGAATGTTGGCGATTTAAACACCAAATCGGATGAAACATATATATGGAGCAAATTTGAAATTCTTGCTTCTATGCTAAATTCGGTTGAAGTGCGAAAATCCATTTGGACTAATATTAGCCATTTGGTGCACAATAAACCTGAAATCGGATGAAGATATATATGGGAGCTATATCTAGGTTTTGGGCCGATTTTCTCCAATTACAATAGGGTTCGTCCTTGAGCTAAACAAATGTTATTTAGAAAATTTCACCTCAATCGAATAATAAATGCGACCTGCATTTTGTTTACAAAAATAAAATGTGATTCTAAGCTGATCACAAAAGGAACTATGGGTCTATCTCATTTCCTTCTCCATGTTGCAAAAAATGCACAAAGACATAATACCCTTACCACTATGTGGTGTAGGGTATAAATAGAACACAGAATTATTTTCGCTCTTCTTGCTAAATTTATTTAGACTTTCAATTGAGTGGAATGTCTATTGTTATTCCTAGTAAGTAAACACGATCATTTTGCTTGTTTACAAACTGTTGGACAACGAATGTTTTCTCATTGGAGACAACCAAATTCGGCAGTTCACTACCTTCGCCCAAGCTAAACAACTTTTTAGCTCTTTTGACTCTATTTTCTGTCAGTTGCGGTGTAAGTTGCTGCACTTTTTAGAATTTCAATGGCTTTACCCCGAATTCATTTTCAATATTTGCCGAATGGAATCTTGCGAGCCATTTTTCGGTCACTGCGACGCGGGTTTCGATCAAGTCGCTTCTTTACTTTTCGAACCGTTTCTGCTGATGTTGCTGTTTTCTTCCGTCCGCTTTCTTGACGTCGGGCTACGCTACCAGTATCACGATAACGAGCGATGGTACAGACACAAAAGATTTATTCACATTTAAATGCTGAAATGCTCTAACGATAGCCACTTGTAGTTTTCCAGCCAAATATAGAGAAATCACACTATCACGCTTTCATTGGTCATTTCTATATAAATATAACATCCATAATTTGGTTCATACAATTTCAACATCCAATTATAAATCACTCAACAATGTGGTTTCGTTGCGCTAACAAAAAGTATGAAATATCATACACTCTTTACTTAATACTCAGACATAAAAATGTACCCGATAAGAAAAGGTCGACATGTGTCATTATTAGTCATATAAAAGAATAAGTATAACAAAAAATATCCAAGAATTTTGTTCGTGCTATTAACACTTAATCGGGAAACAGCGCTGGGAAAAATGTATTCAATCCCCATCCAAATATTCATATTTTGCAAACAGTTATTATAATGTTTCTCACAATTGGTACATATTGTTTTAAAGGCTTAGATTCTCCCAAATCTAATTTCAATTTTAAAATAGGTCCAACTATAGCGATCCAATGTTTTAGATGCTCAGTAACAAGTGGCATCGATGTATTACCTCCATGCTCCCATTTTGACGGATCTCACCAGTTTATCGTCGATTGTCCTTATTCTACTATGTGCCTAAGGACAGTCTATACTCTGTACCTGAATAATGGAATTACGCTACATACATTTACTTTGGGATGTGCTCCACAAAGACAAACTCGTCATGTAAGTATCAGATTCAATGTACAACAACTATAATTAAAAACTATGTTATAGGTTCTACGAAACGGATTTTGGGAAGAGGAATTTACTGTTGAGGAAATATATCCGCAAGACTGTGTCAAAAATAAAACAATTTGAACTGCTATTGCCGAGGAAATTTGTGTAATTCTGCTAAAATGTATTTTATACATTCAAAAATAGAACACATAATTATTTTCGCTCTTCTTACTAAATTTATTTAGACTTTCAATTGAGTGAAATATCTATTGTTATTTCTAATTTTGAAATAAAGTATTATATAATTGACAAATCCCGTTTCATTTAGCCAATGAAACAGTTTGTTCATGGTACAATGAATACAAGTTAGGATAAGTTTTTACGAAACTGTGAAAAATAAAACCAGGCTATATATATACGTTTCGCGTTTTGTTTCTATATCATTTACAGTTTTGTCCAAAACTTAGCCTAGAATGGTCTTACAAAACAACAGCGCCTGAATATCATAGAATATACATATTCTACATACATCAAAATACATGATCTGTTAAGGAAGTTCTTCGCACGCTTTTTTCACATTTTAGGCACAATGTGAACTTCGATAAGATTGAAGTATTTATACGTGAGAAATGTCGGAAAGAGAAATAAAAATCGGACTAAGCGCATGGACTATTTGAGGCGCAGTTGCAGTCAACATTTACATGAAATAATCTTCAACCATTTAATGGTTGGACCGAACTAATTTTGAACCGAACCGCTATTTCCGTAAATGAACAAAAACATTTCAATTAAAAAAATGGTTTGGTTCAACAAAATTAGGAATTTGTGTCGAAACGTTAAAAGCGCTTTATTATTTTGTATTAGTTTCTTATAACATACAGTAAAAATCATATAATGAAATATATATTTTGACAAGGAGTTTGTGTGCAAAACTGGATATGTATGCATTAATACATAACACTGAACCCAAGCCGACAAGTGGTTTGCAGACCTGAGTCGAAGAATGTTAGTTGATAACATTATATGAGAGAACCAATATATACCAAAGAATAATATAAACGCCTGTGTAAAGTTTCAAATGTATACATTATATATGGCGACCGGTTCAGCTAGTAATGTATAAATATCCGATTTAATATCCTAATCTGACTTTAAATATCAACGAAAATAACTTCAATGTAAAGATCAAATCCTGTATAGGGTAAGTGCGCCTAAGGTCGGCATGTCCCAGTAGTCGGCAGTTTTGAAATTTAAACTTAAATAACTAAGAATAGAATTGACTAAATAATGAAATAAATGCAAACAAACGTCAACAGTGTTCTCTGCTCTCTTTCTGTAAAAAAAAAACAATGAGCTCCGATCATTTATTACGAGAGAATAACGGTTTTCGTCAGTGAGTGTCTTCCAACGCATGCGATAGTGCTTGTTTGTAAAGAAAAAATTAGTGGTGGTGTCAACTAAATAATCGATTTAAGTAAATTAAATTTAAAACTTTTGGAATCAGAAATATTTTATTAAAGTAAATAACAGTCTAAAGATCATTTTATAACTTAAAAAATATACAAATCAAGCATTTTTCTGTTACATTATTTAATGCCGACATTAGGAACAGAAAAAAAGAGATTTGCCAGTAGTCGGCAGGGGGACCCGATTACTAGAAAAATATAATTTTTGACCCATTTCACCAAAACTTGAGAAAACTATTAAAAAATATCCAAAAACTACACAAATAAAAAAATATTTTGTGTCGGCAGTTGTTTTTATTTGTGCTTTTTGACCAACTTTTCTAAATTAAGTAGGTTTTTTAAATCAGCTATTTGACGTTTTAGATAACGGTGGCATTTTTAAAGAAAGGTAAGAGATCAATTCACAAATTCCAAATATAAAAAAACCTTTTTTCTTTTTTATTTAATCTCATTTTTATTTTAATTGAAAATCCATACGTTACTGAAGGTAACCATACTATTCTTGATTTTCTACCTGTATTTGGTTTAGAATGATTATTAAATAAAACACTATTTAAAAACGAAATTAATTAATTGAACTGTGAATTAGTAATATAGCATTGTTTTATACTATTAGAAATAAAAAAAAATACAAAATAATATTTTTACTGAAATACTATATGCCGACTACTGGCAAATAGACATACCGAGCATTGGAAAATGGTGCCGACTACTGGCAAAAAACTACTATTTTAGTAAAATAGCAAATTTTGCCAATTTAATAAAAACAAATTCAATTGTTGTTTATTATTTCGAAAACTAAACAAAATTTGGAATCTGAACATTTTTTTTCTGCAATTGAAAGATTTCACTCAGAATGTTGAAAGATTGAAACATTGGAAATTCTAAAAGTGCCGACTACTGGTACACTTACCCTATGCTTCTTTGCCGGGAAGTGACTTTCAGCATTAAAAATATTCGCAGTTGAATGGAATTTTTTTTTACATACAAATTTTATGGGCTATACATCCGCTTAATCTTATCCGATGACCACTCAAAATGTTCCTAGCCCTGACCGGGCTAGGTCGACTCAGCTCGTTAAACAGTTGTTTTTTTCCAGAACTGGTAGAATGTAAAAGTTTTTACTACAATAACCGATTTTCCCCTTAAGATATGGAGAAAAATTGCAAAACTAATAGATTCTTGTAGGTTCTGGAAAAGACCAAGTATGATTAGCATACAACAATCGGTGAATATCATATAATATATAACCGCATTTATTTACTCATTTCTATTTTAGGGACGGTTTATTAGTAAAACTAATGCTCTGTTTCAGATCTGCAATAGTGTAAAAATGTTTACTACGATAATCTACCTTTTATTTATGATATCGAAAAAAAATTCCAAAACTAGTAGATTATTGCAGGTTCTGGAACAGAGTTTAATGGGTTGTGTCCAAGATATTTTGAAAAACTTGGTGAAATTATTTGTCTGAAAATATTAAATAATAATAAGTCTGATTTGACAGACTTACTTCTAGGTTGAATTCGGCCTTATGTTTTTGATGCACAATAAACGAGACGGACTAACAGAAATAAATCGACTGAGAATATAATTCTACTGTGGAGATATATAGTTTATATTCCGCATTTTACGAAATAATATTGATATGGGGAAATATTACGACTTTCAGTTCAACCTGGAAGTAAGTCTGATTTGACAGACTTACTTCTAGGTTGAATTCGGCCTTATGTTTTTTGATGCACAATAAAGGAGACGGACAAGCAGAAATAAATCGACTGAGAATATAATTCTACTGTGGAGATCTAACGAAATTATGGGTATATATTCCTTTTGCATGTTACGAACAAAGCGACAAAGACATAATACCATGCTTCACAGTGTTTTGAAGGGTATAAACACAAACCATAACGATTCACTCTAGTGGGAGTCCCATCTCTAATAAATGTGAAAATATTTCCAAGAGTGGCTACATGTTAAAATTTTAAACTTTTATAAATGGTATCCTACATAACTTAAATTTTACTAATCGAGGAGCCACTTTTTTATTTTCTTTAGATTAGAATCCATTATGTTACCTTACCTTGCCATCATTTTCTACAAGGCATAGGAATACAACATCTTCTCGCAATAGACGTATAGCAGCATGCAGGGGATATTTTGTTTTGCTCTTTAACATTTTAAAAAGTAAAGGTCCAGACATATGCTCAAAGTCTTGAGGAGTTAAATCTTCCCAATGTGTAGAAATTAGTCCAGAACAGTAATCAAGAAGACTGGCTGCACCAACCTCTTCTGCTACACAATAGAATCGTACACAGGAACGAACACCCACTGATGCCACCAAGGCTCTTTCGCACAATCCCAATAAACCAGGAAGACGAAAGCGGTGGGATGCTTTCAGAAGACCTAATGATAGACGGTCATGTTGTAGATCTACAACATCCGTATAAATCCATCGTAATAGCGCTATTGATATTTCCTCATCCATATCACTCCAATCTAATTGGTTGACGTCGGATAAGACATCTTCCCGCCATTCTTCGGACCTTGCATGAAGAACGAACTTATGGGCTGGCATAACTTTTGTATTCATTTTAATAGTTAAGTCCGAGTATACCGTTCGCCCATACAAGGAAGCAACTGTTAACACCAGCCGAGAAACAAAGCTACTAAATTCGCCAACCGATTCTGAGTCGGATGAGGCAACCGCTTTACTGTATTTCCTTTCTAAGTCCGCATATCCTTTTTGTAGTTTGGTGTATTCTTGTTTAAGCAGCGCTAAATGTTTCTCTAGTTTTTGTAACGTAGCAACATCCGGTGATCCACCTATTCGAAATGAGAAATTTGTATTGAATAATGCAACGCCCATATTTTTGGTATATTTTAGAAAATTCACACAAATGTCAGAAAAATTTAAATTTCATACTCATTGTGCTGCCGAAGCTTTTTCCAACTACAAATGAACAAATTTAGATGAAAATCAATTGAAATTTGAAAATAATTTTCTTTTTTAATCACGCAAAATACACGAAAACACAACTGGAGCTCATATAAAAATGAGAAGTAGGGAGAAAAAAAAATCGACCAAGCAAAAATGCCTGATAAAATTTATAATCAAAACAAAAACCCGACAAGTACAGATAGCCTTTTAGAATGTAAAAATCTGCATAAAGGGTTCTAAAAACCTACTTCCACTGTGAAAACAGCTGTTGGTAAACTACGTTTCAAAACAAAAGTTGCAGCCATGGTAGATTATAGATAGATGCATTGTACCATAGTACAATGAATTCAAGGTAGGGCAGAACTACCATATGATTTAAATTTTTTTATTTTTCTGGCTTAATATGTCAACTTCATTTGCTTATGTATGTGTCTTCTTTTCAATAATAAAAATTGTTCAGAAAATATTCAAATTCGGGTGTTTTCAAAATGCTTATTGCAACGAATGCATCGACAAAATCTACAGTTTTTGTAGCGAAATAAACCATAAGAGATATATAGAACATGATATTGAAAAGAAATTTTGACCATTCATTCTGTTTTCGCGGTTTTAAATTATTTATTCAAAATCAATTCAACAAGTTGTTTGCTTTTTTATTGTTTTGATAGTAATTCTGACATTACAATCCAAACAGGTAGACCTCTATACTTGCAATTTTTTCAAAGTTGACCTACCATGCATGGTACAATGAAGAGAAGGTAGGTCAACTTTGAAAAAATTGAAAGTATAGAGGTCTACCTGTTTGGCTTGTAATGTCAGAAATAGTATCAAAACAATAACAAAATCAAACAACTTGTTGCATTTATTTGAATAAATAATTGAAAACCGCGAAAACTGAATTAAAGGTCAACACTTCTTTTCAAAACCAGGTTCTATATATCTCTTAAGGATTATTTCACTACAAAAACTCTAGATTTTGTCGATGCATACGATGAAATAAACATTTTGAAAACATCCGAATTTGAATGTTTTCTGAACAATTTTTTTATTATTGAAAAGAAAACACATACATAAACAAATAAAGATGACATATTAAGCCAAGAAAATAAAAAAATTGAAATCATATGGTATCATTGCCCTACCTTAATATCATTGTACCATGGATAGATGCATGGCGCAATTACAGAACAAAGTAGAACAAAGCTACCCCAAACACATTTTTTTTCTTTTATGATGAGCTATGTTTGTACCATGGCAGAAGAATACAGGTAGATGCATCAACGCTTAGGAGCATTGATATGTCAAAAAAATTGAAATGTTTTTTTAAAATATAAGTAGATTTTTATATGTTTTCTTATTCTAAGTCAAAAGGAGGCTATTATAATTCGCGTTTTCAAAAATTTTTGCAAATTTAAATAATTTTTCATTCAACATTTTCATTCCCAAAATTGGTTTGACAGTTCATTGTCCCAGCAGCTGTGTCGATGCGTCTACCTATATTCTTTTACCATGGTTTGTACGATACCCAAAGTATTCATGTACCAATACTTAGTGTTTTTGGTTACTGGTTACCGTTTATGTATTCTTTGCTTGTTACTTTATGTCACTTATTTGTAGTAATTTTAAAAGTTACAGCTGGATGTTGTTTTTATTAAAGAATTTACACAATTCATTAAAATGATCGCTGGACAAAGTTTTAAGAAGTAAGTCTAAGAATATTGTATATATCTTGTAATTTTTCCTCTCATTGTTGTGTTTGGACATATAAAAATCTGGTTGTTGTCGGTGTTCGGTGTTCCTGTTGAAAAGTCTATTGCTTAGTTTTATGTTTCCAGGAGTCAGGTTTGACTATAACTTCCGAACCATGACAACTTACCCCTTCATGTGACCACTTGTTGGATAGGTATTTCTATAAGCTTTCAATCGATACCCATATTGTCTATATCGGGTAAGTGGATCCGGGTCCAGGCGGGGTCTTGATCCCGGATTTTTGGGTCAAAAATCTGGGGTCCCGGGTCCGTCCCCCAAGAAAAAAATAGTTTCCCGGGATCAGGGTAAAAATACCTACCTCTGGAAAAAATTTCGAAAAAATCTAAGAGTTTTTACTAAACTAGAGTTGTTCCATGAAAATTCCATATAAGCCGAGAATGCAAATGTTAAAGAGCATAGGACTTAAACAACTGTCTAAGGGAGGTCGATTGTAGATGTCTATAGAATCATTTCTCATTGCCAGTATTCGACGACTAAGAAATTTGCTAAGGCGGAATTGATTTCATTCAGAATTTTTTGAATAATTTCTATGTTGACACAATTATAAGCCTTTTCAACATTTACTGATAGAATGATAATCTTTTCACGTTTGCTTTTATGATAATTAATAGTGTGTAGTATTTTTTTGATGCACATGGAAAAAGACATATGTTTTATATATGCATGTGTGGCAGTATATTGTTATCATCAACAGATTTTTGCATTCTTTTATTGTAAGATTAATAATTTAAAGGGAACTGAAATTGCTGAACATTTCCAGATATTTTCCTTTCTTTGATATTGGGACTATTTTACTTTTTCTCCCGTCGTCTCGGATTTCGCATTTTTTCCCTAACTGATTCATTGCTTCAAATAGGGTTACCTTTGCTGAATCTGAATTATATCGTAAGTAATACCATTAAAGCCGGCAGCGGAGCCTCAAATGCTTGTTCCTTATCATACATTACTACATTTCAAATAATTTCTTGCATTAGTATCATTATTGTGTATATCATACGTTTTTTGTGCGGCTAATTGAAGTTGGTATTGCCTCCTAACATAAGCATTCTACCAAATTTTTGGAGTTTTGTTTTTCTTAAAGGTATAAGTCGTAATTTTGGATTGAATTTCATTAAAATTTGGTTTTAAAGATAGTTTCCCTAAGTTATGAAACAGTTGTTTTTTGCCAAAAATGTTTTCCCTTTGCTTTTGATGTTCTTACATTTTAGTAATATGGGAAGCTGGTGGCTTCCACCTGTAAACAATAATTAAAAGACACAAAGTCTTTACCATTTGAGCGTTTGTAAGACACTAAATATATTTATCAAAATATTTCTTAAGAACTACTTATGATAATATGACTTAACCTAAATCAGGGATGCTCAAAACTAAAAATGAATGTGTATTGGTGCGAGAGAGAGAGAACGTATACTCAAAGAAATTTCAGTTAGCATTCATGAGTTGTTAGCGCCAACTAATGCATAATGATATTATTTTTACAGTGTACTAGCATATTATAGGGGAAATGTTTTGTATAAATACAAATATATAAATTTAATTTCAATTCAACCAAAAAACGTAAATAAAAAATTAAATGTAAATAAACAATTCACTGTATGAAAATTGTTAAAATACGTCTCAATTCGTCATAACTTTTATGCATAAATGTTTTGCCACATAAAATGCATTGAATATTGCCAAAAGCATTTTTAACCATAAAATATGATTGTAGCATTCTGGCATGTAGTTAAGCTGAAATGAAAAATGTAAATGAAACAATTGTTTCGCTAAGTGCATCAACGGTAGCAATGCGTAGAGCGAAACGCGTCTTCATTCGTCGGTGTCTCATCGACGACTGATTCTTATTCTCATTGCGAGTTCGTGTTGGTTTACTTATACTTTTTCGTTCGAGGCTGCCCATAGCTGACCTAAATTATCATTAAGTGTAAATGACAGAAAAGGAGAGATAGATAACAACTGTACACATGCCTATACACCATAAACCATTTGTTTCTTCAAGCCAAGGACTTTCTCTTTGGTCTCCACATTAAGAGCCTGCGTGACTGTAAGGATGACCTTAACATCTTCCGAATACAGCCTCGCTGTCGCATTCAGTGACTTGCTCTGGTAGCAGCGGCTAGTTTGGACTTCTTTAGAAGCATCTCTAAAAACCGCCTATGAACGCCTGGATAGCATATCACGTCTCTTGCCGCGTCCATAAGTTTTTCTTTGGCGAAGTCAAATACGCCTTCTATGGCTTCTTCCGTCTTTAATGTACTCAAGAAGAGTGGCAACCTCTTCCTTTGTTTTCATCATTGGCGGTCATTTTACCGATTCTTCCTCCTGGGTATATGCCTCACCCCTTCTGTCTTCAAATATGACTCGGTGTGCACCGCCCCCACAGTCTTCTGTGCTGAAGTCTCTTTTTGACTCCGCATCCTTTTATTTGACTTGTAAATTTCCTCTGTATGAGATCAATTCCTGCTGTAGTTTTAGCTCGGTAATTTTTCCAAATTTAGCCTAGCTGACAGGACTTCCTCGACATTAAAATTCTTCAACATGTATGCGGAGATTTTTTTCTCCACTATCCTCTACCGATCCGGCTCGAAGGACCAATGTAAACCGGGATCAATAATTAAAAGACGCAAATTGTTTGCCGTTTGAGCGTTTGTAAGACATTAAATTTATTTATTAAAAATATTTCTTAAGAACTACTTATGATAACATGACTTTATCTAAATTATCATTGAGTGTAAATGACAGAGAGAGAGAGAGATAGATACCAACTGTACACATGCCTATGCACCATAAACCTTAGGGGGAGGTCATAAACACGCATAGCTATCTCACATGTGGCAAGCAAACATTCTGCACTTGCTTATCAGTCTGAGTAAATATTACATCCCCTAATCTAACTCCACCATAACACATGCAGCAATTGAAAATTCTATATTATTTATTTCTAACTCGAAGGTCTGCTCACCGCATTTTCTTTTTTTATTTAATGTGGACTGTATTAAGATCCCTGTTTAACAAATCCCTCTCATCTGCACTAGGTAGCCCCGCTATTCTTTTTTATTATAAAAACATGTTCACTTATCCGTGAACACACAAATCACAGAATTTTTTTTCCATTGTATGGGTAAATTAGAATTTGTAAAGGATAGGTCCAAACCGAATCCTCTTAAGTCAATAACAGCTTTTTTAAAGGTATGGCTACCATCACTTAAACATCGAAATTTTGTAGCATCAAAATTTCATTTATAGTATTCCCACGTTGTGAAACAAATATATTACCATGGGCAGAAGTCTCGCATTAAAGTCACCACATATGAGTGTTTGGTTGATATTAACTAGAGGTATTAATGAACTGAAACTAAAGTTAAATTGTTAGTTTGACATATGAGTATGTTAAGAGGGGGTTCAAATGAGATCTTTTGGAAATTAATGTTTCTTTTAAAGAGTATGACTACGCCAACATACTTATCACTTGAAAGGTGATAAATTTTTACTTTTATTAATTTTAATTAATTAATTAAATATTTCACTAAGTAATCATATATCTATTTTAATGTTTGTTTTTTGTTAAACTTTGTACATTATATTGTAGTAGATTCATGTTTTGTATAAAAATGTTAATTTACAGGTTATGTATTTTTATGAGCATTGTGTTTTGGATTCTATAAATGGTTTTCTTGCTGCAAATGGGAGTAGATATTGCTGGAAGCTTTCTAACACGTTTTAAACCTTCTGTACTATTGAGAGAGGTGAGTATTTTTGACATAGTTTTGAGTCCGTTGCAAAGTGGTCAATACTGTTACAAAGAATACAACGCGGCGAGCTGCATATGTCTAAAATTATCATTTTATTGCAATTTAGGCATTTTTGTTAACCTGCAATAAATGGCAATGTGTCCTTGACGTCCACAATTCAAACAGAGGCGTAAAGGAGGCACATACAGTTCTGGTATTATTTTTGTTCCACATATAACTATTTCAGTGGGTACGCCATCGTATATGTTTAATGGTTTCAGTGTATTCAAAAATATTTTTTTTGGTTTTCTTGAGAACCGATAAACTGAGACTACGTCCATATCGTTGTTGGCTTCAACTTGTTGTTTTATCGTAATAGCGGTAGTACGTTTTGATGGTGTAGAAACGTTGCACGAACCCTTCCGGAATGAAGTCTTTGATTGAGACCTATTGTTTTAAATTTCCATTTTGGGCTAAAAAGGTTTGCTGAGATTGCGTTATTAAAGGTAAACGTTAAGGTGTTGTAACCAATATTTTTGCAGGCTAATCTGTGATGTTTATTTTCTGAAATTTGGCATAGAGGTGTAGAACGCAATTTTTCTTTCTTGTACTAATAGGGGTTTCTGAAGAAACTAATACAAAGAAAGGGCCAGGATAATACGGTGTAATTGTATTCATCTGTGTTTTTACTAGTGCGTTTGTATTGGTGTTTGGAGTATTAACCGGCATTCCATTATTGATTTTTAATACTTTTGTTTCATTTGCAATTCTACTAGCTTTCCTTTTGTTTTGTTTCCGCAAAGGCGGAGGATATCCAAATCCTCTTCAGAAATGAAAAAATTCAAAAAAGGCACGTATGTTTGTGTTTATTTTTGCGAAAATTGTTTGTTCGTTTTTGGGATTTGTTGTTGTTTTTTAAATGTCGCGAAAAATTCTACAGTCAACAGAAGTTGATGAGCGACTATGAAACAAAGCCTACGGTTGCATATTTTAAATATTATTTGACACTATAAGACTCCTGCACAGAGTTGCATTTTTCTAGTTTCTTTGAAGTTGAGCAACCTTTCTTATTTAGCCATGGGTAGATGCACCAACGCTTGGGAACATTGATATGCAAAAATTTGAAGAATGTTTTTTTATACGACGACAATCCGATGTTTTTAAGATATGCATTTTTTAACATCTTTAACGAATTAAAATAAAATTCCTTTCAAATTTTGTTATGTACCGCCTGCAGTGGTGCTTAAGGTGGGGTTCCATCTAGCTCAGGAATGCAACTCTCAGGGGGTTCTCCACCCTTCCACCTTTAGGCCTAGGGTACTAACAATCAAAATGTAAAGGGGAAAAACACAAATAAAACAACACGATCACAAACACGACACGCACTCATGGCAAAAAGAGCTTGGTGGTTATGACTCCTCCACTCTGCCCACCCAACCTTGATCCTTTGCACCCATTCTCATTGGTTTCAAGGGCCCATTTTTCCACAAGAAGTTAGAAAGAATTTAAGTTCAAGTTAGAAAGAATTTTAACATTCAAACATATACATTTATTAACATTACCTTTATCATGGTTTCTTAACGGATTATTAACACCAAACAACACGAGGAATGTGAGTCAATATTCTGGACGACAACAATTTTCACACTAGGTATTCGGCCAACTCGGGCTATTTTTACTCATCTAAGATATTCTGCCTAATGGAGCTCGATTAGGTAGTGTTAGACATTTATTTAACCTGTCTAAAAAAAACGTTTCGTCTAAACCTAGTTGAACGTTGAGGGCGTTCCTTCACTCACGTCGAACAAGTTTCGTGGTAATAATTTTCCTCACAATAATAATACTTAAATTTTACGTCGAATCAATTGAATAATTATTTAATTTTCTTTGTTAATTTATTTCAGGTCAAATTGGTTAGCGGTCACCTCACACCCGTTGATAAAGCGCTTCGGTGCCGGTTCCGAATAACCTGAGGTAACTATTTAAAAATTTTTTATCTTCGTTGCCTGCTTGGCCAGATACTTAATTAGCTTGTGGGAACTTATGTCGGCGGAAATTATATGGCCCTTTTCTGGCACAACGGACACTGTCGCATCAATCTGCTGGCAATAATAGGAATTTTAGATGTCGGCACAAATTTTTATGACATATAGCCGGTTTAAATAAGGCGACCTTCCGCGTAAACTGTTGGAAGGCCTCGCAATGGCTTGCAATCTGATGGCATCTTAAATTGAAGGGACACAACACTTGTTACAAACGACATTAGACAACACTATAGCTTAAAATTACATCTTTGATTTTTATCCATCACACGCAGCCGTATATACCCGTCAATAAAACTTAATTTTGTATTGTTGTTATATGCCGACTTTTCTCAAATGGTCGATTTTGGCAAACGAAGTATGTTTTTTCTATAGCGCACCAATAAAATCTGATTTTCATTTGGTTTTGTAGGTGTGTGATCCGACTACCTGTATTCTTTTACCATGGTTACAGCGATACCTAACAGTGGAACCTAAATTCGACGCCCTGAGTCGACGATTTTTACCGCATAATTTGAAAACATGTATTTATATGAGTGTTACCCAAATAAGTCGGGCGTATAAAAATTTCAAAGTTGAAAATGTTCAGCATTGAAAATTAAACGATTTATTATGGTATCATAGCCTTACCTTGATTTTATTTTACCATGGTAGATTCTAAGATATGGACTTGATGTATTTGGGTAAGACCATGGCACAATTACATAATGTAGAAAAAAGTTACTACCTAAATACATTTTTTCTTATATTTGAAAGAATCCATGGTAAAATTAAGAAGATAACGTCATTTCAAAAATACCCATTTGGTTTGTGTATGTACAATGGATTTATAAATACAAATTGCCAAAATGTTGTCAAATGAATAATATTTGACAAAATTGTAATCATATGATTGCATGAATTTAAGATATGGCCTTGACGTATTTGGGTAATACCATGGCACAATTACAGAATGTAGAACAAAGCTACCCCCTAAATATATTTTTCCTTTAGGTGCCCCATATACACATTTTGTGCATTGTTTGTTACGTGCGCCAAGGAGGCGGCTTGGGGATGTTTCCCATTCGGACTCCGGCCAACCCAGCCTTATTCTCTAGGGTGTACTCCCAACCCGGATACCATCAGCCCCTGACACGCAACATAAAACTAGGAAACCAAAATCAAAATGAAGCTAAAATAAAAGTGCAACAACATCAATGAAACCTAAACCCGATGGCTTTAAGTTCGAACACATTACTATGATCACTGCATTTCTATCATACTCCCAGTGACCCCTATGAACCGCCCACATCCATCACTTACCTCATCCTTTTAATCCTCCATATTTTGTTTAACATTTTATACTATACTATATAAGTCACATCATGTTTATTAAAAAAAAACTCCTAATTCTAACAAAAATCTTCAATATCGTCAAAGGTATTTATAAATTTTCTTAAAAATTTTATACAAAAAACAAAAAAAAAACCAAAAAATTTTAAATAAGAAGAAACACAAAATAATAAAAAGTTGTTTTAAATTTAGTTTCTGTAAAGATTTTTTAACGCAAACGCACTTCCTGTTAGGAATGACTAAATCGAACGGTCTTAAGACCAACAGACAATATCTCTTTACTTTTTTGATGATTGAGTTCATCCACTGATAATAGTTGCAAAGCAAACAAATACAGAATTTAGACAAGATGAAAAAAATCTGTTTTAAATAACACTTCCCACTCTATTGTCCTCGTAAAAAGAGATCTTTTCTGGAAGTCTGTTAAGGGCGAATCAATTAAAATTAGCTTTGAAATTGCTGTGGAGAAAATCATGCAATCATAAAAAATCAATAAATATATACTTATAAATAAATGAACAAATAAAATGTCGTTAAATATAAATATTAATAAATAGTTAAATCAGGCAAAATTAATAAATAAAAAAACATGTAAAATTAATGTATAGTAATTAATATATAGCAAAATTAATATATGGATAAATCATGCAAATTAAAAATTTAAAAAAACCGTGAAAATCCGTTTCAATTTGATGTGGTCTCAGTTGATGTGATGTTTTGATTTAGCCTTGGAATTAGACTTATGTTGTTTCTCATTCCGTTAACAACATTCCAAAGCAATCACAGCGTTATTTTAAGGAACTTGGTGTTATTCTTGGGCTCCAGAATTATATATATTTAAAAATATTCATTTTAGAATATTTTGACGAGCGCAAATGCGGCGAATTCGCCTGTTTTAATTGACTTTGTATCTCGGGCAAATTAATGTGTTGGTGCTGAAGTTGGAATGAGTGGATATCAGAGAGACAACAGGTACTGACCCATAGATGGCGGTCGGTCAGTTTTTTTTATCTCAAATAAATGTTGGGAAAATTTAATTCCAACCTTTTCTAAAAATAAATCTTCATGGACTTGCTTCCCGTCCTTCCGGGTCGCAACTACATCCACTGATTGGGGATTGGGGACCGCTTCATTTTTTCACATGTGGAAGTCCGGTTATCTCCACCAAAAGTCCTGACTGAGCATACCTAGGCATGACAATAGTGTCTTCCATTAACAAAAGACAAGACACACATCGGTGGCAAGGGACTGGGATAACCTTTGCCACCCAAAGCACAATAATTAGCAATGGGCATGGCTAACCATACCACCATCCTATAGTTACCCTCCTGAAGTGCCCCAAAAAACACAAACATTGTCTAATGATAAAATCCCCCCATATATGTGGGAGTTATGAAAAAATTTTGCGTGGATATTGAGACCGCCACGGGAGAAAAAGGTCTCAACTTGAGACCTTTCCACGCAAAATTTGTTTTTGTGTACAGGGCCGGATTTGGTCTTTAGACGGTCCCCGCAACAAAACCCCAACGCTGCGTGGTCCTCGACCTTGGTAGTTTCTGCAGCCAACGTGGGAAACTCTCACAGCCTGAGATAAAGCCGGACCATAACTTTAGGGAAGTATAAATATGCCATTTTTCGACGTAATTCAATTACATTTGTGAAATGTGTGTATCGTTTCAGGTGTATGGACGAACCAGCTTAGGGCTTCTGGGCAAGGATGGATCTACTGTGGTATCTCAAACTGTAAATCCTTATTTTAAAATACCTCCCAAATATTTAAATTGGGTATAGCCCATAATTAGTGGAGAGTGTAAAAATAAAGTCGGACAATTACGTTCATAAAAGATTCAGGTACCTCGTATATCACAGTCAGGAAATCGTTATATTGCACTACAACTTTAAGGTTTAAATACTGTTAGGACATCGCCAACATGAATGCTTAATCCTAATTTTATCGTTCTTTATATTGCATTTACGATTACGAGAATACCTTTTAAATTTTCTAGTTCATACATGTTCTCGCCTAAGGGTTTCACAATCCGACATCTAATAAACTTTTTGCAATATTTAGCGTTTAAATTCTTTGAGAAGTCAGACTGCACGATTTTTAGGCGATACCCTTCTTGCCCTGGTCTAATTTTTACCACTCTTGTCCTCTTGTTATACTTCTCGGAACTGGTTAAATACTCTTTGTGTAAGTTTTCTTTTATTTTGTTGCGCAGAAGCTCGAGTTTCTCGGGCCTCTGCAACTCTTTAACCTCATGATCCGTCATCGACATGAGTTTTCGGACAAGCTCATAATTGGTTCCTCTCAAATACATGTGGAATCCGAAAAGGGCAAAGAATGGTGTGGTTCCAGTTGCAGAGTGCACCGAGTTACGTAGCGCACATTCGATAACGCGTTCGTATGCGTTTGACTGTGGGGAATAGAACGCGATTTTTATGTGCGTAATCTTGTAGCTTTCGATGTAAATTGAGCCCGTTATGACTGTGGATGACTTCAGGCACTCCGAATTTATGAAAAACTTCATCCACAAGGAACTTAATTACTTTGGCCGTAGTGACGTCTTTCATTGGCTTTAGAAAGGTGAATTTTGAGAAATGATCCACTACTATATATATGTGTTTCCCAATTTGGACCTAGGGTATTTCCCTAAAAAGTCGATGAACAACTTTTGAAACGGTCTTTCCGTTATAACTTCCTTTCCAATTTGAGGCATTGAATTTCGATTACAGGACTTTGATTCCTGAAATTTTTGACAATTACGAACATTTTGCCTTATTTGTGTGGTCATATTTGGCCAATATAATAATCTTTTGATCCCTTCAAGAGTCTTTTGTACCCCTCCGTGACATAAAGTAGTTGCGTCATGATTTTTTTCTATCACCTTTTGTGTGATCCCACTTGAAAGCCATATTGTCCACCCCCGCCATCTACTTCCTGGTTAGAGAGATGTCTTTTAAAAACTATTTCGTTTTCTACCTTGAGATCAGGTAATTTTTCTGAATTGGCAGTAATGGTTTTTATCAAGTCCTTGTACTCATCACTCTTAAATTCTCCGATTCAAAATCGAAATATTCCACATGATCCATTTCTGTGCTTAATATCAAAATCGTAAGACTGTAATAAAAGTGACCAACGAGACAAGCGCCCACTTAAATGTTTCAACGACATAAGCCATTTTAGAGATGCGTGATCAGTGATAACCGTAAACGGCATCATTTCGACATAAGGTCTGAATCTTTTTATGGCCATTACTGCTGCTAAACATTCTTTCTCCGTGACCGTATAATTTCGTTGACAAGAATTCAACTTTTTGGAGTAAAACGCAATGGGATGCTCTCCTTGATTGTCATCCAATTGGTAAAGAACAATCCCTATACCATGCTTTGATGCATCGCGCTGGATATAAAAATGTCGTGAAAAATCGGTCTTCAGTTGGCCTTGTCCTACGATGAACCCTAAGTACTCAATTTCTTTGAAGTAAAATTGCGATTTTTTATTCCTATAGTGAGGTTTGCCCTCTTTAGGCATATTGCCACTTCATTGAGAAGACGCAAGTGCTCGTTGATGTAACTGGAGATCACCAACAGATCACCTAGATAAATGAAAACATGTTGTTTTAGTTGTTGAGGAATAACCTTATCCATTAGCCTGCATAATCGCTGCGCTGCGTTACAGAGGTCGAATGGCATAACCCTGAATTGGTATACGGGCCTTCCATACCATCTCTGTTTTGTTAATTTTCTAGCGTCCGGGCAAAACCTTTCTAACCACAGTGGTGCGATTGCTCCACGAGCTGTTGCTCTCTTCAATAATATACAGCCGCTGCATCTTATCTATCTATGGCATAACCCTGAATTGGTATACGGGCCTTCCATACCATCTCTGTTTTGTTAATTTTCTAGCGTCCGGGCAAAACCTTTCTAACCACAGTGGTGCGATTGCTCCACGAGCTGTTGCTCTCTTCAATAATATTCAGCCGCTGCATCTTATCTATCTCTTCATACATAATTGCCTGGACGGCAGGGGATAACGGATAGTGACGATCTTTGGCGGGTTGTGCTCCCTCAATCAATTGGATCGTATGTCCAGGTGTGTTTTACCGAGACCCTTTTCTTCAAACGTCGCAAAGTTCTTGATGAGATCGTCGAGTTGTTGTTGTTTGGTGGATAGTTCATGGGAATTCATTTTGTTCGCTTCGTCTTCGAGTATCTCTTTTGGTATGTTATCTATCTTTAGCTCATTAATTAATTTCGACCTCTGCATATAATATATGATCCACATGATCTATGTTTTTGACTGAATCTACAATTAAATTCATTTCCTTTCTCTTCTCTTTATTTTTTTTTTCATAATTTATGAATTTAAGATTCCTTAACATTAATGGGTTAATTGCATTTCGTAGTCGTAGTGCCAGGATTACCGCATTTATAAAAGAAGAGGGACCGGACTGTATCTGCACATTCCCTGATATTGGCTGTACAAGCTTTGCCCGAATCTGACCCATGATATGAAAATAGGTATTAATTGACTCATTGTGTTGTTGCTTTCGTTGTGCTAGTTCGGTTATGATTCCAAAGTTCGATTTTGAGGATTGATATTGGCTCAATAGACTATATTTCAATCCTTCACAGTCATGAAATCGATTGGTCTTTTGGAAAAGCCAATACCAAGATTCCGCTCTACCAGTGAGTAGCAATGGGAAATCTCGGATTATCTCAGACCATGGTATGTTATAGTGCAATTGAAAATACTCCAATCAATACACAAATTCTTCAACACCCAATCCCGAGGAACTACCATCAAATTGCAATCCTAATTTTTTTTATCCCAAATCCGTACCTAGGGTCAAATGTTCCTACTGGAGACATGTTGCCTACAGGGCCTTTAGCGACATGCGTCCCATTATGACAAGGCATATTTGCCATTGGCTGGGTTGTCCTTGGCTCAGTCAGATTTGGGTTTGTTTTATTTATATGAAACACGGTGGGGTTACTCTGATTCGGAATTGGAAGCATCCTTGAGATAGAGGAAGTCATCGGTGGAAGGATATTCATAGCCCTAGCAGAACCTGGCTGTCGATTTCCCGAGAGTTCAGTGTTGATTCAGACTCATTTGTTTTCCCGGTGTTTAATTCTATTAAAGATTTCTTTATTTAACTCATTTCCTTCTGAAGATTTTGTATTTCGTTTTCTATTAGACGATGTCCTAAGACATTATCCCGGAATGAGAATCCTGATGCATCCTGAATTTGACGCGACTATCCCGATCCACCTTGAAGGAAAACGGGCCCTATGGAATTAGACACCGGTGAACTCACATTTATGGTCTGGGAAAGGTCCCGAATTATCCTATCTCCACTGGGATTAGCTTCGGCCATGTCGGGGTCAGTACTGTTGTCCTTTTTCTTCTTATTTTCGATTATGATCGACCGATTCGAATCAAAAGTTGTAGGCCGATTCTTTGCTCTTGCACGAGTTTCACAGCTCATACCACTCAAACACCATCAAATTTCCTCTTTAGACTATTAACAAGTTTTCACACAAAGTATTACTATAAAGTTTAGGAAATTGATTGTAAATTCAGTTATTTATTTTCTATTTAATTTTTTTCAGGAGGATTAAAAGTCGAGGCGGTTTTAAAGCCCTCAAAATGGTTTTCAATGATGTTGATGCTAACAATTGATACGTAGATACTACTACAACCTTTTTTGTGACTGGATATGCTCTACCAACGGCAGTATCCCTCAATCCCACTGTAATAGATACATCAACCTTAGATACGTTATGCTTATATCTGTATATGTATGTAGAATTGAATCACTACAACAAGTACTAAGCTGATACTATATTTTTTAAATCATCATACGTTTTGCTACTACCTCGTGTAAACCTATAACACTGTAGGACAAATAATATGATGGGTTGTACTCGTCATGACCTTCCTTAACCTAATGCATCTTTGGAAAAAAATTGAATAAAAATAAATACAAAATAATAAAAAGTTGTTTTGAAATTAGTTTCTGTTAAGATTTTTTTAACGCAAACGTACTTCCTGTATGGAATGACTGAATCGAACGGTCTTAAGACCACCAGACAATATATCATTACTTTGAGTTCATCCACTGATAATAGTTGTAGAACTTCAATTGCAAAGCAAACAAACACAGAATTTAGACAAGATGAAAAAATATGTTTTAAATAACACTTCCCACTCTAATGTCGTCGTAAAAAGAGCTCTTTTCTGGAAGGCTGTTAAGGGCGAATCAATTAAAATTAGTTTTGAAATTGCTGTGGAGAATATTATGCAATCATAAAAAGTCAATAAATATATATTTATAACTAAAAGAACAAATACAATGTTGTTAAATATAAATATTAATAACTATTTATCAAAATCAAGCAAAATTAATAAATAATAAAATCATGTAAAATTAATATATAGTAATGTCATGCAAAATTAATATAATATAAACCGTGAAAATCAGTTTCAATTTGATGTGGTCTCAGGTGATGTTTTGGAATAGACTTATGTTGTTTCTCATTCCGTTATCAACATTCCAAAGCAATCACAGCGTTATTGTAAGGATCTTGGTATAATTCTTGGGCTCTAGAATTTATATATATTTTCGTCGTTTTTATAATATTTTGACGAGCGCAAATGTGGCAAATTCGCCTGTTTTAATTGACTTTTTGTCTCGGTCAAGTTAATATGTTGGTGTTGAAGTTGGAATGAGTGGAGACTAGAGAGATAACAGGTACTGACCCATAGATGGCGGTCGGTCAGTTTTTTTTTATCTCAAATAAATGTTGGGAAAATTTATTTCCTACCTTTTTTAAAAATAGCGACAAGCATGGGATAAATGTGGTTGATGTCCTTCCTCCTAGATGCCGCTGTTGTCCTCCGTTTTGGTCTCAGCTTAAGGCCTTTCCACGCATTTTTTTGTTTACAGGGCCGGACATGGCCTTGCAACATGTTTTGATTAAAAAGAAAAATAATTTGAAATTATTTCAAATTTAGGGACAATAAAAAATGCATATTTTTAATGCTAGCACGTAACAAATTGTATTAATGTGGAATAAAACAATCTTGTCCTACTATCTTGGATTCAATTTTGTTGAGAAATCCCAATATTCCCTTAAAGTTTTGTGGTTTTCCGCAATATAATATTTTTGTGAAAAAATTATTGATTAACAAAACCAATTGTTCATGTTTAAAAAGTATATTTGTCATAATAAGTCTATATTACAGAGATACATTTTTCCAGTTTTCTTGAAGTTGTGCAACCTTTCTTATTGAGCCATGGGCAACACATTGTAAAATTTTGGCATAAACTGTATTGCTCTATTAGATTCAATCTTGGAATAACCCCAAAATTCCATTCTTGTTTCGCGGATTTTCCCCAATATAAGAATTTTGTTAAAAAAATAAACATTAACAAAATCAACTGTTGCATATATAAAAGTCTATTTGACACTAAAGGATTCCAGCACAGAGTTGAACTTTCTTAGATTCTTCGAAGTTGACCAACATTTCTTAAGGTACGGTCACACTGGGCAAATATTTGATCGAAATTTTTTTTCCCATATTTGACTGAACTAATGTGAAATTCATACAGAGTTGATTCGATGTTCACATTACAGTCAAATATTTGACAGATTTTGTTTGTTCAAGCAGTCACCAAACAGCGTCAAACAGTGCTATGGGAAAACATGTTTGACACATGTTCACATTCGTAAAATATATTTTCCCATTAAATTGTTCGATCAAACTGTGAGGAAACATAAGTTTATTTGGCCGAGAAAAATAGACAGAGAGAGTGAATGAGAGACATAAAGAAAATATAGTTTCGGGTATAATTATTTGGAGAAGGGAAGCAAAAGACCAGCTGTTGTGAAATAAATTCCTTGTCAGAACAATTTTTTTTGCATTTTTGTTTGTATCATGGTAGAAGAATACAGGTAGTCACATCGACATAGCTGCTGGGACAATGAACTGTCAAAACAATTTTGGAATTGAAAATAATGAATAAAATATTATTTAAATTTGTAAAAATTGTTGAAAAATATATATCATTGCAACCTCCGATTTTTCGCCGTATAGGAAAATAAATCTACTTATTTTTATAAAAACATTTCAAAATTTTTGACATATCATTGTTTCAAGCGTTGATGCATCTACCTATATCCTGTTCGAGAACCTGCAAGAATCTACTAGTTTCGCAATTTTCTTCGATATAATAAAGGGAAAATCGGTTATCGTAGTAAAAACACTTACATTCTCGCAGTTCTGGAACAGACCAAATATAAACATTTTTACTAAACATTCAAATTCAGTTAATTCAAAAATATCAAATAAACAAAGCCACTTATTGTATTCCTTTGTTTTTCTATTCATTAAACATCATGCTACAAATGCTCCTGTTCTTAAAGCAAAATGTTGCCCAATGTTTTAAACTGATATTTTCCCTTGTTTATCCTTACAAAACATTTGCACCGTCAAATAAATGTTTGACCAAAAAATAGGAAAATAATTGATCATATATGTTCACATTATGGACACATTGGTCAAATGTTTGTTTTCCAGCAAATAATTTTGTTTTCCCAAAATCAGCTGTTTTTGTATTTACCGTCAAATAATATTTGGTGGTGAGATTGTGACAAAGAAATATTTCACATTTTTCGTCAAATATTTGCCCAATGTGACCTTACCTTTAGTGTAGAAATACATAAAGCGCATATTTGACCGGCTGAAGTCATCGGCTGGCTTCTTTGTAGATGAACAAAGGAGTTTTAGGTTGACTTAGTTCGACGGCGGTTGTCGCCGTCTAAATATTTAAAATAGTGCGCTTTTCATTCTCCTATCTTTGGAGCATGGTAGAAGAATACAGGTAGATGCATCAACGCTTGGAAACATTGATATGTGAAATAATCATAAATGTTTTTTCAAATATAACTAGATTTTTGTATGTTTTCTTATACGACGCCATTCGGAATTTATTATAATTTGCGTTTTTCAACAATTTTGACAAATTTAAATAATTTTTCATTCAACATATTCAATTCCAAACTTGGTTTGTCAGTTCACTGTAGCAGCAGCTGTGTCGATGCGTCTACCTATATTCTTCTACCATGCTTTGGAGTTAGCACACACGATTGTACAATGAATGGTACGTTTAGACTATAGATGATTAACTCACAGGGTTTAATATATTCGGCGGGTTAACCAATGGTAGAAAAATACAGGTAGATGCAGCAACGCTTGGTATTTCAAAAAATTTAAAATGTTATGTCAAAAATAAGTAGATTTTTTATATGTATTCTTATACGATGCAAATCAGAGTTTGTTATGATATGTATTTTTCAACAATTTTTACAAATTTCAATAATTCTGTTGTTGCAAAATGGCCAGGCTTAATCCTTTTATTGTTTTTTATTTTTTTTATAAAATGTTTACCAGGTGGTAAAGCAGGGAATACCCACGTTTCGGAAAGAGCCACCAATTCTTATCCGTTGTTTTTTTTTTTCTGAAATATTGTCCCCAGAAGTTATTTTAAATATAGCTTCTATGGCAAAAAAAAAACTTTTTTACCCAAATGCCGAGTAAGCTCAATAGAAGAAGAACCAAATAATTTTTAATTTAACATTTTTAATTCCAAAATTGGTTTGACAATTTATTGTCCCAGCAGCTGTGATGTGACCACCTGTATTTTTCTACACACGGTTTACCCATGGTAGAAAAATACAGGTAGTAGGACATAGCTAAATAGACATAGAATTTTATGCTGATTAAGAATATATCTACTTTGTGGATTCTAAAATGTATATTTCGAAGTGACAAACTTAATATACCCTCCATACTATTGTGGAGGGTATAAAAGGATAAGGAACTTACTTTTCTAAAATTGTGACGGTTCGGCAATTTGCCTTGACCTGATCCACACCTGCATTTGTTTCAGAAATACGACAAATTTACTGTGAGTACCTATGTTTTAGTCAGTTTTGAATGTCTTACTATTTTTCTTATATTTTAGATTACGAATTCTGTCATCTGTTTACAAATGTAATGGTTGGTCAGCCTCGCTGCATTCTAGGTCTTACAACACTGTCCGCTGTCATTGATAAAATTCTCACATCCGATACTCAACTTACCCCCATAGATGCTGACCTTTGTCAACTAAGTCTTAAATCGAAGTGTTTTTTAGAAAATGTATTAAACATTTTTCAATTAAATCTTACATTTAGTTCCAATCACAATAGTTTTTTTTTTTTTGACGTTTTTATATGGAGGCTTCCAGTGACCACCAGTGGAATATCAGAAAATTGGAAAATTTGTTCTGCCAAAAACTGACTTGGAGAACATTTTATATTCCAAAATACTCGTAAGGGCTCCCACTTTTTTTGGCATTCACAGTTTTTTGGACGTTTTTATATGAAGGCTTCCAGAGCCAGATTCCCGTCCTGACCTCCAGTGCAATATGAGAAAATTCGAAATTTTTTTCCACCAAAAAATGACTTGGAGAACATTTTATATGCCAAAATACTCGTAAGGGCTTCGACTTTCATTTGGCATTCACAGTTTTTTGGACGTTTGTATATGGAGGCTTCCAGAGCCAGATTCCCGTCCTGACCACCAGCGGAATAAGAGAAAATTGGAAAATTTGTTCTACCAAAAACTGACTTGGAGAACATTTTATATGCCAAAATACTCGTAAGGGCTTCGACTTTCATTTGGAATTCACAGTTTTTTGGACGTTTTTATATGGAGGCTTCCAGAGGCACATTTCCGTCCTGATCACCACTGGAATATGAGCAAATTGGAAAATTTGTTCTACCAAAAACTGACTTGGAGAACATTTTATATGCCAAATTACTCGTAAGGGCTTCGAATTTCATTTGGCATTCACAGGTTTTTGGACGTTTTTATATGGAGGCATTCACAGTTTTTTGGACGTTTTTATATGGAGGCTTCCAGAGGCACATTTCCGTCCTGACCACCAGTGGAATATGAGAAAATTGGAAAATTTTTTCTACCAAAAACTGACTTGGAGAACATTTTATATGCCAAATTACTCGTAAGGGCTCCCACTTTCATTTGGCATTCACAGTTTTTTGGACGTTTTTATATGGAGGCTTCCAGAGCCAGATTCCCGTCCTGACCACCATTGGAATAACAGAAAATTGGAACATTTGTTCTACCAAAAACTGACTTTTATATGCCAAAATACTCGTAAGGGCTTCCACTTTTATTTGGCATTCACAGTTTTTGGACGTTTTTATATGGAGGCTTCCAGAGCCAGATTCCCGTCCTGTCCACCAGTGGAATATGAGAAAATTGGAAAATTTGTTCTACCAAAAACTGACTTGGAGAACATTTTATATGCCAAAATGCTCGTAAGGGCTACCACTTTCATTTGGCATTCACAGTTTTTTGGACGTTTTTATATGGAGGCTTCCAGAGGCAGATTACCGTCCAGACCACCAGTGAAATATCAGAATTTGAAAATGTTGTTGTATCATAAACTGATTTGTGATGTTATGCATGGAATTAATAACTGGGTTATAAGAATTCGTTATCGAACAAAATTTGTTTATTTCATGGACTTTTTCATTCATAATTTTATAAATTAATTTTGTTTTCAAAACGGTTCCAGTTTTTTTCTCTGACGCACAGTTGAAAAAAAGTGTTAAATGTGAAATTTCGATGTTTTGAGTCACCCTGTAGTTTTGGTGAAAGTCGATGTTATCGATAGTTAGCAACGTTGCTAACTTCACGCAGGTTCGCAACATTGCTTACTATCGATTTTCACCAAAACTACAAGGTGACTCAGAATATCAAAATTTTGCATTCCATCTTTTTCTTCCAACTGTGCGACAGAAAAAATCTTTTCAACGATTTCAAACAAATTCAAAACAAGTAAAAAAACATTAAGTTCGGCCGGACCAAACTTTTAATACCCTCCACCTTAGGGTAAAAGAAACATTAGAAGAAATATGGCAAAAACCATTAAAATGCCGAATATCGGGAGGTACCGTTATATGGGGGGTATACCAAAACGTGGACCTATAATTACAATGTTTCGCCACACAAACTAGGACCCACTATGACCCACAAATACCAATTTTTAGACAAATCAGTAAAAAAATGTGGCAAAAACCACCAAAAAACCGAATATCGGGAGGTACCGTTATATAGGGGCTATACGAAATCATGGACCCATACATTCAACGTTTCGCCACCGAAGCTGGAACCAATTATGGCCAACAAATACCAATTTTCAGACAAATCCGTGAAAAAATGTGGCAAAATTCATCAAATTACCGAATATCGGGAGGTACCGTTATATGGGGGCTATACCTAACATGACCATACGTCCCGCTTTGGGCGGGACAGTCCCGCTTTGAGGTTATCTGTCCCGCTGTCCCCAGCGAGAGCAAAAATGTCCCGCTTTCGAAAATACTGGATATTGATATTGATGAAAAATACATGAGTTATTTTTTTCCTCGTGAACATATAATTTATTTGCATAGTATTTTTCAAGCAACATTAACATTAAAATTAACTCGAAAGATTTTGTAATGCTAATGCTGGAGTTAATGTCGACGTCGTCGACGCCGTCAAATGTCAAAAAAATTGAATCGTATGAAATTTTATGAGAGCAGTTAATCTTAACGCCGTAAGAAATTCGACGCCGAAAAAGTTCAATCTGTTTCAACTTTTTCGGCGTCGTCGACTGCGTTGACATTAACTTCAGCATAACAAGGGAAATCACCAAATTAAAAATGCTTATAAAAACAGAAAAAGTTTCTGTCACTCTGTCAGTACCCTAAGCATAGACGCTCTAAATTGTTCTGGTATATTTTCATCGCGGAGTCGGAGAAGGCGAGCAAAGTCAAACAATTTATTTTCAATGTTAGTGATTGTAACATTACAATAATGCCTAAACGCAAGTGTACTTTTAACATTTCTTTGCAAAATAAGTATCCATTTATAAAACAAAGAAGTGGTGAATCAGACGTTACGTGTGAAAAATGTCGTACTGATTTTAGTGTTGGACATGGTGGTGCCAGTGATATTGAGAAGCATTTAAAATCGGAAAAACACAAGCTTTCTGATCAAGCTGCCGCTTCAAGCTCGTCAATGCTTTCTTTTTTTAAAAGAACAAATTTGGCGACTTCCAAAGACTTGGATATAGCTGCAGCGTAGGGTGCGTGGGCGTACCACACAGTGCAAGAAAACCACAGTTTTCGTTCGAATGACTGTGCTTCAAATCTAATACAAACATGTTTTGAGCAAAAATTTAGATGTGCCCGTACAAAATCACAAGCTATAGTTGTAAATGTGCTGGCACCTATGGCGATGGACGAATTGAAAGAACACCTTCACGAAGCCCACTGCATATCTTTATTAACCGATGCTTCCAATCATTGCTCAATAAAATTGTTCCCTGTTTTAGTTCGCTATTTGTACCATACGAAGGCGTGAGAGTCAGGATTTTAGAGTTTCAAAAGCAGCCAGGCGAATCATCTGATATAATTGTGGATTATTTGAAAGAAGTATTATCTTGCAATGATTTGAATAAGAAAATTGTGGCATTTTGTGCAGACAATACAAACTGCAATTTCGGAGGAAAGAATAGAAAAGGGATAAATAATGTTTACGCCAAATTGAACCTATCCGTCGGAAGGCAGCTCATTGGGATTGGGTGTGGAGCCCATATAATTCATAATGCTATCAAAACAGCCGCAGATTGTCTCCCTGTTGACTTCGAATGCATCATTGTGAAAATTTATTCATTCTTCTACATCTACAGCATTCGGGTAGAAGTTCTGAAAGAGTTCTGTGATTCCACCGACACAGAGTATCAGAAACTGTTGGGCTACAGTAAAACAAGGTGGCTTGCTTTAATGCCGGTGCTTGAGAGAATTTTAAAAATGTTTCAGCCTTTGAAAACCTATTTTCTGAGCATAGATAAATGCCCTACTATTTTAAAAACGTTTTTCGAAAATCCCAGCTCTGAATTGTGGTTATATTTTTTGCACGCACAGACAACGATTTTTCATCAAGCCGTGTTGAAAATCGAGGGACAAAACGTGTCCGCAATAGAGTCTGCGAATGAAATTAATCGTCTCCGAGATAACTTAGAACTTAAAGAGAATTCGATTTTCCTTCCTCATTCCGTCCTCAATCTACTGGTAAAATTACAAAAAACTGACGTTGCTGTTGATGAGCAGAATGTGAAAACTGCGGCAGCGGATTTTTATAAGACAAGTAAAGAATACTTGGAACAGTGGTGCCAATTCAATGCACAACTAGCAGTATTTGAATGGTCAAATTTGAGAAAAGTCCCTACTTGGGAAGACGTACAGAATGTGACGGATTTGCTGATCACACAAAGATTTCTTAGCAGTAGCCAAGATAAGGAGGTGTTCGATGAGTTTTCGCTTATTTCCAGTTACGTCACAGTTGAAAAAATCAAAAGCTGGAACGATGAGAATGTTGCTACTGAAGACCGTTGGGTGGAGCTGTTTAAACACTTCCGTGCTAATAATCTCAACTGCACAAACTTTCGCACAATTATTGAGTATGTTTTATGTATGCCTGGAAGTAACGCACCTGTCGAAAGAGTTTTTTCCCTAATGAATAAAATATGGACAAGTGAAAAAACGCAGTTAAGTGTGACAGTTTTAAAAGCTATTTTAATTACTAAGACTAACATCAACAAACAATGTAATCAGCTCCATTCCTACTTGAAAACTAGACCCGATATTTTAAAACTAATTTGCTCTGCTGACAAATATAAAACAAATACTTAGACATAAGATTAATTTCATAAATTAGATTTATACGTATTCTCTCCGTTTTTGAATAAAATTTGTTTTTAAATGCATATTTTTTTTTGTACAAAATTCCGCAGGCGTCCCGCTCTGACGAAAAATATAAATGGTCACATTAGCTATACCAAATCATGGACCCGTGCATGCAATGTTTCGCCACCGGAGCCGGAACCCATTATGACCAACAAATACCAATTTTCAGACAAATCCGTGAAATAATGTTGGAAAAATCATCAAATTACCGAATATCGGGAGGTACCGTTATATGGGGGCTATACCAAATCATGGACCCATACATGCAATGTTTCACCACCGGAGCTAGAAACCATTATGACCCACAAATACCAATTTTTAGACAAAATCCATGAAAAAATGTGGCAAAAAAAAACTAAAATACCGAATATCGGGAGGTA